TCAAAAAGAAAATAAACTTGATAGCAAGCAGGGGATATTAATTGTTAAAATAACACAAGCAAATATCAACTACACATACAAACCAGTTGAAAGCAATGGCTCTTTTTCTTCTTTAAGCCAGCATCCTGGACCACTACTTGAGTCCAGATATAGAGCTTCAACAAAGCATTAGCCTATTCAGTAAATAAAAGATAAAAACCGAAATGTTCGAAAAGGGTCCAAATCACGGTTCATTATTAAAACACAGCTAGCCCATGGCATATTTCTGAGTCCAGCTCCTTGCAGTAGTTTCGTACTTGGTCTTGTCGGTTTTGTACATATGGGCTATCTCGGGCACCAACGGGTCATCAGGGTTTGGGTCGGTCAACAAAGAGCATATGGATAGCAATACCTGAAAATACGAAGCGAAAATATAAATAAAATATATATATATATATGTACATATATATATACACACACATATATCTACATATAAAAACAGAACTCCTTCAAATACGACAAAATGAAAATATTGAAGAGCGATTGATTATGGGCTATGTTCGGTAATCCCAGCTGATAGCTGAGAAGCTAGTTTATAGCTTTTAAGTCAACTTTGGGCTTATAGTTGATAGCTAATTACTTATGGCTGAAAAGTTAGCTTATATGATAAGAGTATTTGGTAAAATTAGCTGATAAGCTAGCTGAAAATTCCAACGAGCTTATTTGAAAAGCTATTCAAAGAAGCTTATGAGATAAGCTCGAGCTTTTTAAAAAATCTCGTCCTACCGAATGTTGAATACAAGAAGCTTATAAACTTAAATGTTGGAAAAACCACCTTAGAAATAGTTAGGGCAGGGCTCCATTGTTCCTTCAATATGTCGAGGCATATGCTTCCGTTGCTATTTATATTTGGGTGGAAAACTTTCGTCCGGAAAGAAACCTGCAGAAATTCATCAAGATGATTATATGGTGAAAAAAGTAAAACTGAAATTCGAGAATATGTACATTAGGGAAGTTTAAGAGCAGAATCTTGGCATGCTGAGGAAAGAAAAAGAACACCATAAACAGAAATGGCCCAAAAAGAATAAAGATCCAAGAATCGTTCATTGACAAATATAAAATAATTCTCTATCCGATTTTCTAACATGACAGGAGACAATTTTGGATTTAGAAAGGAACTTTAGATAATATGAAAGTACCTTAGGAGGCTTGAACGGGTAGTCAGGAGGAAAATGAATGGTGACTAAGAAAACTCCACCAGTATATGGACTGTCCGGAGGGCCCATGATTGTAGCTTGCCAATGGAACATGTCCTCAGCCACGGGACCTGAAAGAGATACAAAAATATACAAATCGAG